AGATGTCTGTCAAATGAATGCTCGATTTGCCTCGTTTGCGTGACTTTCCATAATCGGGCAGGACTTTCTTAGGCATGAGTGATTATCCTTAACTTCCAGTTTGGTCCATGTTTTTTCTATATTTAGGCTACAGAGGTTTTGTGGTTTCAGTCTCTGGTATTACTTTTGTCTTAAGAGATAAAACATCACATCTTCCCTGCAGAATACTGTTGACTGCGTTTAAATATAAGAATTTAGACCTGAATGTAAACTTTTTTTTTTTTTTGGTACCGGGAATTGAACTCAGGACCTTGAGCTTGCCAGGCAGGCACTTATGCCACTGAGCTATATCCCCAGCGCAAATTTATACCTGTTAACAACAGGTAACTGAATTTTTTTTTTTTTTTTTTTTTTTTTTTAGGTACAGGGAATCAAACTCAGGACCTTGCACTTGCCAAGCAGATGCTTGTGCCACTGAGCTATATCCCCATCCCTGCATGTAAACTTCAAACTACTTTTTTTTTTTTTTTTGAGACAAGATTTCACTACTTAGTTCAGGCTGGGCTTGAACTCAGTAGGTAGTCCAGGTTGACCTCAAGCTCTAAAACTCTTGGTGATCTTCCTGTCTCAGCCTCCTGAGTGCTGGCATTACAGGCAGGTGCTATCACACCTGGACAACTACACTTTTCAGGGAATAATTTCTGTGAACTTTCCTTTGCTGGGTGTGGAGGGGACACCACGTTTTTATTTGCTTCACTTACCATGTTAATTGTCACAGGGGAAAAAGAAAATGCTGAGCTTGATTTAATTAGCAGAGTCCAAAGAGCTGGGTACAGCCAGGGTCAGCCAGGGAGCTGGGTGCTCCTGGTCTGCGTGGGGACGAAGGGTAGAGGAAGTCAAGGAAAAGGGCTGGCCAGGGTCCATCTTGGGAGGCTCAAGCTCGCTGCCAGACACTTGACTCATTGGCTGGACAAAGGTGGAAGGACCATGAGCAAGTGTAAGTGAAAATGGCACACGAGGACCGCTTGTGATTAGTTTACTCCACAGAGGAGGCGCACATCTAACCACACTTAGCCAACGTGCTGTCCGAAAGGGCTCCGAAGCCACCCAACCACCTCCACCTCCAGTCCAGCTGCTGCATGGACAGCCTCCCTGTGGGCGAGATCAAAGAGGCTTCTGGAAGCGGGATGTGTTACCCATGTTTAGGTCCGGAGGAGGTCATTTCCAGGTATCTGGGGTCCCGAACAAGAATTGGACAAGACACACAGAAGAGACAGTGAAGATTTGCATTAATTGAAGGTGGGAAAGAAGCCATGCAGAGTGAGAGCGGGGTGTGGAAAGGCTCACAGTGCCCAGGAGGAACAACGGCCCAGCTTCCCTGGATCTCCAGACGGCTTCGCCCTCATGCAAAGGCATTTGGGACAGCCGTCCTATCACCTTGCCGGACATCAGACTTAAGCTATCCTGTCAAAGGCCGGCTTGGTTTCATGACAGATGTAAATGAAGCATCAAAATAGCACTTTTCTGATTGGTCCCACCTGGGTTCAGGGCTGCATCCTCATTCGGGAGTCTGTGTTCTGCGCATGTGCCCTGCGTCCTCGTGACTGACGGGCGTTTTTCATGGTTGGTTAACTGCTTTTCTCTGCCCTCAGCTCCCGCCTCTCTGGGACACGGCCAAAGGAGTCACATGCACTGCCGCTGGAGGAGAGGGACAAAGTGGACAGTAGAGCACATAGGGATAGACCACTTCTGCTAATCTCTGCCCTTTTGGCTGAGGCCCTTCCAACATTTTTTACCACATATCTGACTGGTTATCTGGGGACGGGGAGGGCATTCATTCTTTTCATATAAATTATGAGTGAAGCAATTATTACACCCAGGAAATTCCAACATGAATTTAAAATGTCAGTTGTTCAAGGAGTGGTCAAGGAGACAGGCAGGAAAACAGATCAGAGTGGAGAAAAAACAAAACAGGAGAGGATCCAAACACAGACCTAACCTTGGCGTGGTGGCACACACCTGTAATCCCAGCACTGCGGGAGGCTGAGGCAGGAGGATCACAAGTTCGAGTCCCACCTGGGCAACTCAGTGAATTAACAGGACCCTGCCTCAAAATAAAAGATAAAAAGGGCTGGAATGTAGCTCCGTGGTAATGGCCCGGGGTGCAATCCCCAGTACTGAAATCACCACCACCTCAGGCCTACTTTCCCTCAGGTTCACTAGGAGTTGAACTTCAACCTGAGACTTGAAGGCTGACTGTGAGGAGGACAGTGATGGCATTATCCCACCGACAAGGACCAGCCTCAGGGCCTGAGTGACCCTAAGTGACTGCCCCGAGATTGAAACCACAGTGTCTGGCCTGGCAGAGAAGTAGTAAAGTCAGCATGGCGAAGAAACAGGAAATGAAGGAGGTTAACATAACAAAGCAGAAGTAGGAATGGAGATTAGCCTAGTGGTGAGGACAGGAACCAACAGAACTTCTGACTATGTAGGGAGCCAGCTCTGCAAAAAATCTGGGAGTGTAGGAGGCACGGAATCAAACTCTGTCATAGCACATGAACACTGCAAGGGGCCACGCAGAGCTCCTAATCAATGTCTTAATTACTGCTCAGGCTGGGCTTGAACTTGAACTTGTCTCAGCCTTTCAAAGCGCTGAGATTACAGCATGAGCCACCATGCCCAGCTTCAATGCCTTGGAAACTGAGGCCGCAGAGGAGAAACGGGTACAAGTATCACAGACAACAGAACCCAGGTCTCCCTGTCCACACTGTGTCTGCGCTAGGTATCTGAGGGTATCTGAGTCTTCCTCCAAGGCACCACTGTTACAGTTTAGATCTACACGTCCCCAGAGAGCCTTGTGTGCTTTTGCAAGGTGACTGGAGTACGCAGACACCGTAGCTGACTTGCTCTTAGGGGAGGTCTGGCGGGAGAGGCGGGTCACCAGGGGCCTGGCCTGGGTTTATCTCCCTCCCCAGCTACTGCCCTCCCTGTCTGCTTCCTGGCTGCTGAAACCGTGAGCAGCTTTCCTCTGGCCTTCCACCAAGCCGTTTCCTGTTTGGAGGCTGCCAACTACGGCCGGAAATATCTAAAACCGTCAGCCAAAATAAACTTCTTGTCATCCTTTAAGTTGTGGCTGTCAGGCGTGTCTCTGCAGCAAGGAAAGTGACTAAGATGCCATCACCTTTGGCCCTCTGGACCCTCCTGTTTTGGGTGGGTGCCAGACTCAGTCCACAGGTGCCAGCCCCTGAGGATGGTTAGGGTCAAGTTTAGGTGCAGAAAGCCACAAAACCACTGGGGAGAACATGAGGCTTCTGCTTTATTTTCCCACTGGAGTCAGCCTGTGCGGTACGTCCTGCCATGACAGGAAAAAAAATCCTATTCACATCCTCATAAGGGAGCAAAAAGTAAGAGGAAACAGGAGGCTGTGTTAGACAAACACCTGAAATAATCAACTTATAAAGAAGAAAGATTTATTTGGCTCACAGGTTGGGAGGTTTCAGTCCGTGAATGGTTGGCCCTGTTGCTTTTTTTTTTTTTCGAGACAAGGTCTCAGTATGTAATCCAAGCTGGCCTTGACTTTACTGCAAAGCCCAGGGTTTCCTGAGACTAGCAGTGATCTTCCTGCCTCAGCCTCCTGAGGGCTGGGTTGACAGGAGTGCACTGCCATGCTTTGAGCTTGTGGCGAGACTGCACATCCTGTTGGGACAGGACGGCAGAGCAGAACCACTCACCTTAAGGCCGGGAAGTGAAAAGAAGAGGAAGGGGACAGTCCCACTGTCCCCACTGAGAGCTCATCCTCAATGGCCTGATGATCACCCACCATGCCTCACCCCTTACAGTGTCCACCCTCTGCCCAGAGCACCAAGCTGGGAACCTTTCAGGGACATTCCAGATACAAACTCCAGCAGAAAGGAAACAAGATCCAGATGACAGTTTTAGCCTGTGTCCGCTGTTCCTGGCCTTTCACCAGCCATCACCCCCAACTTTTTTTTTTCATTTTCCATCCTAACCTGGCTGCTTTCCTCCCAGGACGGATGCAGTGGGTGCAAACCCCTGGGGACCATCACTCACGGTAGGAGTCACTCAGCCTGTGAGCTCCTCTGTGATGTGGGAACACCGCCAACACCCATCTCTTTGGGTTGGGAGGATGGAGTGAGAAAGTAGGTGGAGGGTGCTTGCATCCATGCCTGGCACCAAGGGGCACTCGCATATTACTAGTATTGTTGGAACACACTGAGCTGCGTTGTCACAAAGGAGTTGAGCAGTACAGCGACTATTACTGACACCATGCCATGCTACAGTCACAAAATTACAGGTTTCTTCCATGAAGATTTTTAATTTTTTAAAATTTTATATATTTATTTTTTGCAGTACTTGGGATTGAACCCAGGCCTTCGCACAGCGCTACATCCCAATCCTTTTACCTTTTTTTTTTTTTTTTTTAAATCGTGAGACAGGGTCTCAGAGTCGCTAGATTGCCTACGTTGAGCTCGAATTTGCGATTCTCCTGCCTCGGCCTCCGAGGGTGTTGGTATTACAGACGTGACAAACCACGCCCAACTACGAGTGAAGCTTTAAATTTGTGCACTCAAGGGCTACCTTTCCACCCGTCGGAATCTACAGTGACGCCTGTTTACCTGCCACCTTCCTGTGCCTCAGGGAGGTCTTCCAGTGCCACACGCAGGCGCTCCTCCCACTCAAGCAGACCGCGCTCGCAGGCACCCTGACCAGCCCCTTCTCCTCGCCTGCGGGCCCCGTGTCCACATCTCCGGCTGTGCTCCCGCAGCCAGGTCCTGGGGGCGGCGAGCGGTCAGCTTGTGGTTTCGGTGCCCGAAAGCGCAGGGAGGTCCCCAGACCCGACTTGCGCCGCAACACCTGGTGCGACCCCGGAAGTGGGCGGGCTCGCGATCCTACGCCCCCCTAAAGCGGCTAGACAGCAGCCAATCGCGCGCCCCGGGTCGTTACGTCATGAGAGTAGTGACCAATGGCTGAGGGTCCGACCTCCCATTTCCGGCCCGCCCTCTTGCCTGCGGCTGGGGAGGGCCGGACCCGCTAACCCAGCAGTAGAGGAGCATCTCGCGCAACCCCGGCCCCCCGGTGGCCGCCCAGGTGAGTGCGTTGCGGTGCCCTCTCCGCGGCTGCCACAGGAACGTGGCGACTGGCCACTTGCTCTCCTAGGGAGGCTCGGGCAGCGGAGAGCAGCGGCGCCCCTCCATTGGCGGCGTTCGCGCCGACCCTGGGGAGGGAGGGGCTCTACCTGTGCTCACGCACGCCGGGCGGGCGCCGCCCCCATCCCCCCTCGGAACGCCGGCAAGCCGGGCGCGAGGCTCTGATGGCGCCCCCACTGCTGGCACTGGAGTGATTGGAGAAGCCGATCGCTGCACCCTAGCAGCTTTACAGAAGGGAGTTACATGGGGCCTTCTTCCTGAGCAGACGTAGAAGTAAATCTGCTTGTGCTGGGATTAGCGTGGGCAGATGGTCAGGGCCTTGCTCTCCGATTTATGCCACTGGTGGCCGGGCCGGGGCCCACCTGTCGCCCAGTGCAGGAACTGGGGTGCTAGGCCAGGCTGACTCAGGGCACCTCCTGCCTGGTGAGGCTGGACAGACACCCCGCGCTCCCCGACACCCCGACGTGCCCCTTCTCGCCTGCGGGCCCCGCGTCCACATCTCCAGCTCCGCTCCTGCAGCCGGGCCCTGGGGGCGGCTAGTCCCTTCTGTTCTTCACGAAACACTCAACTGTCGCGCAAGTCCTGCCGCCCTCCCCGCTCCGCCCCCGCCCTGGACCCTGATGTAGCTTCAAGCAATCCCGCAAGCAGCAGCCAGCAAATTGCCTTAGTAACCTTTCAGGAAGGAGTCCTAAGGCGGACTCAGGGGAAGTGCATGCTTGGGGAGCTTTCTTGTACCGTGCTGCCCCCTCCACCACCAGTACTCCCAAGGCCTTGGGCGCTTTTTGGCCTGTAGGATCTGTGAGCAAACTAATGCAGAAAGGCAGATGGCTTGGAGGGTGCTCAGCAGCTCCCCCCGCCTTTTTTAACCCCCTGCCTCTTTTTGAGACACAGCCTCACTTTGTAATTCATCGTGGCCTTGAACTATGTAGCCCAGCCTGATCTGGAACTCAGGGTGATCCTTCTGCCTCAACCTCCTGAGTGCTGGGATTATAGATGTATGCCACTATGCCCGGCCCTTGCGCTTTTTAAAAATGTTTTATTTTGAGACAGAATCTCCCCACCTTGGCCAGGATGGGCTTGAACTTTCAGCCTTCCTGCCTCAGCCTCCCAGAGCGCTGAGATTATAGGCCTGCACCATCACACCTGACTGAGTTGCCGTTTTAAAACAGAGTGACTGAAGGTCCAATTCAAAATCATTCTGCAGAAAATCTTGGTGAATTAGAGGTTGCTTCTTTGGAATCTGTTCCCTCCATCCCTTCCCTTGTACAAAGCAAAGAAATCCCAGGATTCAGAACCACAATACTTAATACTCCACACGCTTTTTGAAAAGTCTTGTGATCTAGTGACCCAGGACAAGTTGCCTGGTCAGCCCACAGCCAAGAAATGGCATGTGAAGGGTTGGGGTGCATCCTGGTTGAGGCAGAAAGAAGGTGTGGCCGGTCAAGAATAACGACTCCCTGGCACTTTTACTGGGAAGTAACAGGTGTCTGGGTCCACATTTCAAAAGGAGTTTGTAAACACAGCCTCCACCCATCCTTCCTCTGCCCCTGTTCTTCCTAACTGCCCAGAAGGTTCAATTATGTTGGAAGGAAATTACTGCTTAGTCATTCATCTGAAGGAAAAGTGTATCAAATGCAAAGCAGGGGCTCCATTATTTGAGCTCAACCTTAGACTGAACCTGACTGAATTATGAGCTATCTTAGAAGGTTAACTTTGGGGTTGGGGTTTAGCTCAGCGGCACAGCGCCTGCCTGGCAAGTGCAAGGTCGTGAGTTCAATTCCCAGTACCGGAAAAAAACCAAAAAAAAAAAAGAAAAGAAAAGAAGGTTGATTTATAATTTTAAAATGACACCATAGAAACTTTTTTTAAAAAACTACTTTTTTGGCCAACATTTTGTGGTGAAAATTTTCAAACATACAATCTGGAAGATTCTCTTTTTACTTCCTTCCTTCCTTCCTCCCTCCCTCCCACCTTCCCTTTTCTTTCTTTCTCTTTTTTTCTTTCTTTTTCTTTTTTCCTTTCTTTTTCTTTCTTCCTTTCTTTTTTCTTTCTCCCTTTTTCTTTCTTTCTTTCTTTTCCTTTCTTCCTTTCTTTCTTCTGATCAGACCCAGGCCCTTGTGCATGTTAGGCAAGTGCTCTACCAGTGAGCCACACTTCAAGCCCCAAACTGAAAGAATTATACAGTGAGCACCCACCCCTGTATTCTCTACCTTATTAATTACACTGTTGACACTTCACATGCTCTATTGAATATCTGCCCACCAGTTGGTTGCCTTACTTTTAAAGTAATCTGTGGTTTACCTTCCCTGGGGCAGTATTTCTGTCTAGGCTCAGGGAATTTGCGGCGTGTTGGGTGTGGGTGGAGGTGATTATCATTCAGCACTGGTTGAACATCCTCTGTGTATAGCACTGCTATGAGAAAATGAAGAGGCTCAAGACTCAAGTGACCAGAAAGGGACTTGATTTTTCTTTTTAGACATAGGAGATAAATGGCAGAGTGTGGTAGCAAATGGTAAGTAGTAAAATGACATCGGTCCCAGTCATTCAGTTCTTGCTGAGTACTGAACAGTGTTTATCAGTACTACCTCATTTAATTCTCACAAGGTAAGTAGGCAACTGTTCCATTCTGGCCTTTTTGTTGTTGTTGTTGGGGAGGGTACTAGAAATTGAACACTGAGCTACATCCCTACATGCTCAGCTCCTTTATTTTTTATTTTGAGATAGAGTCTTTTTTTGTTTGTTTGTTTGGTTGGTTTTTTGTGTCTTTTTGAGACACGGTCTCACTGTGCAGTTCAGGCTGACCTTGAACTTTGTAGCCCAAGCTGGCCTCAAACTTGCAGTGATCCTCCTGTTTCAGCCTCCCGAGTGCCAGGATTGTAGGTGCATGCCACCGTGACTAGCCTGAGACAGAGTCTTGCCAAGTTGCCTAGGCTGGGCTTGAATTTGTGATATTCCTGCCTCAACCTCCCAGAGTGCTGGGATTATAGGCGAGCACCACCATACCTGGCCCTTTCTGATTTGTATGCAAAAGGAAATTAAGGCAAAGAGATTCGTTAGCTTTGGTGGCACTCAAATTCTGGCGGTGGGGGTCTGGGACGCTCTGAGCACTCTTAGTCACTGTGAAAGTCCCAGAAGGACGCTCAGGCCTGAGCAAGCAGGGAGCAGAGGACAGCTGGGGGTCACCGGGGGTCCTGCCTTAGGCACCTGAACACAGATTCCAGTTTCCAGGTAGCTCTGTATGTCTGACGGGCATGCTGCCCTTGAGGTTTTGGGGGCCAATAGTTCCGAGCCCCCCCACCTCTTCCTGTTTCTTATTCCCCTCCATCACTTCCTTCTCGATCTGCATTTTTCTTGGTGGTTGTCAGACTCACTGCTCCAAGAGGCATATTTTGCCTGTGGCATCCTAGCCTCGAGGCACCTAAATACACCTTCTGGAAGCTTGGGTTTCCAAACCAGAAACCACACGGTGTCCTGACCGGCCTCTCTCGTGGCCTGAGGGCAGTGTTCCTTTACTGGGTCTGGAAGCCACCCTGTCTGGCCCAGCTTTTCCTAGTGACTGCCCTGCCCTCTTCACCATGTGTCTGGCTGCCATGGGTCTGGCCACGTGACCCCGCCATAGTGGGAAACTCATTTCTGCAAGAAGCCAGGTCTCCACTGTTTACCCCAGGAAGCAGCAGCAGTGGCAGCCCTGGGCATGGGGCACAGACACTGGCAGCTTGGCCACAAAGAGGAGAAAGGAAAGGAGTGGAAAATGGCAAGAGAAACTGAGGGGCGTAGTAAAGAGAGAGACCTTTGTGTCCTAGAGTTCCCTTGGTCACCTGGCTCCTGCAGGACCACACAAGAGTCCAGCTGGGACCCCAGGCCCATGGGGATGCCCCTCACCAAGCCTAGGTGGGACTCACAGTGAGACCAGCTTAGGAGACAATGAGATTCAAATAAATCTATAGGCTTTCATGTATTCTTTTGAAAAGAAAGATCTGAAGAAACTTTATAACAGGCTAATGATCATTCACTTTGAGGCAGTAAATACCTATGTTATCTTTCTTTTTTTTTTTTGCCCCTGTAAATTTTTATGTTTGCAAAAATGTAAAATCCCCCTAATGTGAAGGAAGGAGCCCGGTGTGGTGGTGCACATCTGTAATCCCAGCATACTGGGAGGCTGAGGCAGGAGGATGGCAGGTTTAAACCCAGCCTAGACAATCTAGTGACTTAATGAGACTTTGTCTCAAAATTTTAAAAAGGGCTGGGGATGTTAGCTCAGCATGAAGGCCTTGGGTTCAATCCCCAGTACTGCAAGAAATGAATAAATGAGGAGGAAGGAAAGGCAAAGAAAGAAAACAGCTATTTACACCGGAAGCCGGCTGTGCTTCTTGTCTGTGGAGTAACCACCTGCCTTTCTCTCTGGACTTTATTTTGCTATCGGTGCCATGAGACAGTCACAGCAGAAGTTTCCCAAGTGCCCCCAACACTGTCCGCAGGCTGGAGACCGGGATGCTGACCCTTCCTCTTGCCTCCGACTCCCCTCCAGCTGCCAGCGCCATGCCCACATCTGTGCTGTGGGCCGTGGACCTCTTCGGCAGGGTCTACACCCTGTCCACGGCGGGCCAGTACTGGGAGCTGTGCAAGGACGCCCAGCTGGAGTTCAAGCGGGTCAGTGCGGCCACGCAGTGCTGCTGGGGCATCGCCTGCGACAACCAGGTCTACCTGTACATGTGTGCCAGCGACGTTTCCATCCGCTGCCGGGAGGAGGCCTACGAGAACCAGGTAGCTAAAATGATCTGCGTCCGAAGAACAGAAGAGAGGCCCCAGCATCCCCCCAGCCCTCGCGTTCCTTCCCTTCCACTTGGCACAGCATTCAGAGTCTTGGGCCTGGAGCCCGGGTTAGGTCTTCACCAGAGCAGACTTGCAAAGGGTCTGCGCAGTGCGGACTGCAGGTGTCCAGAAGCCCAGATTGCTTGAGCCTTCCATTGCTGGCCCTTCTTGCAGCACTGTGGCCGTGGTGGGTTTTCTGTCCTTCGGGGCTGTGTTAGTGCCCTGGATTTTTGTTTCTGTCTCTCTCTCTTTGCTGTACTGGGAATTGAACCCAGGGCTTTTGCACTAAGCTACCTCCCCAGCCCTTTTTAAAAATTTTTATTTTGAAGCAGGGTTTCACAGAATCACTAAGTTCTGCAGGCTGGGCTTGGCCTTGTGATCCTCCTGCCTCAGCCTCCCAGAGTGCTGGGATTACGGCATGTGCCACCGTGTCGGGCTTGCATTGGCTCTTGATGAAGTGGCCTGGGGTCTTTGATCCCAGGAGGGGCCTGAGAGACCCTGCCAGCCTGGGTACCCCCTGGCAGGTTCAGACCTAATGCTGTCTCTGTGTCCCTGGTCCCAGCGCTGGAACCCCATGGGCGGCTTCTGCGAGAAGCTCCTGCCGAGTGACCGCTGGCCGTGGAGCGACGTGAGTGGACTCCAGCACCGGCCACTGGATGGGGTGGCGCTGCCGTCGCCACACTGGGAGTGGGAGTCGGACTGGTATGTGGATGAGAATTTTGGAGGTGAACCCACCGAGAAAGGGGTAGGTGAACTTGGTGCCCACCTTGTCTACCCTGGGGGGAGGGTCACCATGGGCTCAGCCTGTCCCCCGGTGCTGCCGTCCCCAGCAGTGCTCTGCGGGGTCTCACTCGCGCTTACTGTGGGGTCCTGCATTCAGTCCTCCTGTCACACTCCCGACGCCCTCCTCCCTTTCTCCCGTTTTCAAATCTCTCCCCCCAGAGCCTTACGGAGTCCCGTCCTTGGCATTTCAGGGGTGGACCTATGCCATCGACTTCCCCGCCACCTACACGAGAGACAAGAAGTGGAACTCGTGTGTGCGGCGGCGGAAGTGGATCCGATACAGGAGATACAAGTCCCGGGATGCCTGGGCCAAGGTGGGTACCTAAGAAGACTCTGCTCCTGCCGAGGCCTGGTCTTCGGGTTGTCCTCCTGTGGCTTCCAAACAGAGGGCGTCTTAGGCACTCACCCAGCCTCTCTGTGTCCCTGGCGCAGTGGCTGAGCTCTGCCAGGGTCCCCACGCTCCAAAGAACAGAGGCCTCGCAGTCAGTCTTTCAGTGCCCAGAGCCCAGACCCCGTGGCTCATCTACCTGTCACGTGGCCACTCCAGGACAGGGCCCGAGCCTGGTGGCTGATAGAGAGGGTAATGCAGAGAGCGCCCAGGGCTAGGATCCTGCCTTTCTGTTCCCTCCTCCTTCCTGGCGTCAGGCAGTGTGGGCCCAGCCCCAACAGAGGGGACACAGCGTGGGTGCCTGACAGGGTAGTCACCAGGTCATGACAGCCACTGTTCGTCGCCTCCTCGTTTCAGATCCCCTCGAAGGATGACCTTAAGGATCTGCCCGATCCCTTCAGTGACCTCTCCGTGGGTGGGTGGGAGATCACAGAGGAGCCTGTGGGCCGCCTGTCGGTGTGGGCTGTGTCTCTGCAGGGAAAGGTAAGGCTACTGTCCCTAAGCCCTGGGTGCATAGCAGCAAGGGAGGCAGGCCAGCCACAGGCCAGGCAGGACAGGGTGTGCCTGAGCGCAGGGAACAAGGCTGCCTGGAGACCTCGTGCCTCCTATCTGTGGGGTGGGGACCTTCTGAGAGGCAGCACCTTACCAGGCTCCCCACAGGCCCCCTTCTATGTGCCCTGTCCTCTAGGCCCCTAGGTCCCACTCCTCCCAGAAGCCTCTGACCCCCGACCCCATGGCTGTCCTGGCCTGCCTCTTCTGGGCACCCCAGGCTCAGATGCCATCCAGACTGTCTCCTTAGACAGATTCTGGGCTCCCAGTCTGCTCTCTGCTGGTGCCTCCCACGGTGGCCAGGAACATTGCGCAAGGGGCGGGGGTGGGTAGTGGTTAGATAGTTGGTGGGTAGGTGGATGGGTAGATGGATTGTGGGTGCGTGCTGGATAGGTAGAGGGTGTGGGGATGGTTGCCGTATGGGTGGATGAATAGGTGATAGATATATAGGTGGATGGATGGTGTGTGGATGGATTCCTAGGTGGGTGGGTCGATGGATCCGTGTTTGTGTGTGGAGGGTTGGATGGTGGGTGTATGCATGGATATGAGTAGGTAGATGGGTATATAGGTGGATAGATGGACAGACAGACAAGTGTTGGGTGTGTGGATGGATGGATGCTGTGCGTGGATGTTTGGAGAGAAGAGATCCTTTCCCCAGAGACGCTGTGAACTACGTAAAAAGGAATGAAACACCCTTGGTGGCAGCAGCAGCTAAGGGGACCCAACCCTCTCGCCATGGTTTGAGATGATACTTCACAATTGCTCAGTAGCTCCTACCACAAATTGACCACAAGTCTGCTGTGGGCTTCAAGCTTGTCATGGCAGGTTATCTTTAGCAGGCTCACTTCCGGGGTCCCGCTAGGGCTCAGGTTAACCACAGGTGCTCCCTCCGTGCCATGCTGAGGGATGGCAGAAGGGGCCAGCAGGGTGACGGAGCTGGCCTGGGACAGAGTCCCTGGTCAAGGAGCCTTGTCCACCTGGATGCAGAGAGGAGAGGACAGGGCCACAGCAGTGTCTGTCTTCTCCAAGTGCCAGCGCCACTCCTGCGGTCCGTAAGAGGTGGCACCAGGACCCTGTGCTCCGGGGGCTAAGGGGCAGTGTGCTGTGAAGCCACCTGGCACAAGGAAGGAGGCCTCCAGGCCCGACCAGAAGGCACACTGTAAGGGGGGGTTAGAAGGATGGGGATACCAGGACCCCAGGTCTGAGGGTTCTCAAGGGGGTCACCAGCCCTGCCTGGACGGTGCAGCCTTTGCCTGATGAAATGAGTCAGAGCCTGGATGATACAAGAACATTGTGCAGTCTTAGATAGTCAGGTCAAAGCGCAAGAGAAGTGGACATTTTAGACTTTGGTATGAATGCAGCTTGGGGTTTTTCCCACCCCCCCACCCCTTGCCTGTAGGGATGGGTGTCCTGAGGGCACTTCACCACTAGAGGGCGCAGGACACATGGGCTGGCGGGGAGCCCTGGGCACCCCTGCTGGAGCCTGGAATTGTACAGGTGGTTGGGTGGATGGGGGCTCTTCAGCTGCAGACAAATGGGGCAAGTGAGGGCTGGGTGTGTCATGTGCACACTGGGGTACCCAGCGACACCCCCCCCACGCACAGTTGTGCAGATGTACCAATAGGCCACGCGGGTGTCACACCCTTCTGTGTTTCCCAGGTGTGGTACAGGGAGGATGTCAGCCACCCCAACCCGGAAGGGTCATCATGGTCTCTGGTGGACACCCCCGGGGAAGCTGTCCAGATCAGCTGTGGGCCCCACGACCTCCTGTGGGTCACCCTCTGGGAGGGGCAAGCCTTGGTCCGGGAAGGGATCAACAGGAATAACCCCAAAGGTGGGTGACCCTGCCCTGGGGGGAGGTGGGAGGCCACCCCCCAGCATCTTGGCTGATGGAGCTGCCTGGGGTTTGGGGGGCTGCCAGGCAGTTCGTGGTCCGTGGTGGAGCCTCCCGGGTCTGAGAATGGGATCATGCACGTCTCCGCTGGAGTGAGCGTGGTCTGGGCTGTCACCAAGGACCGGAAAGTAAGAGGGGGATGCTGGGGCCTGGGGCGGCTCTGCAGGTGCCACTTAATGCTGGGGTTCTGCTGTTGTGAGAGTTGTCTGAAGTCTACACTTGATCTTAGCCAAAAGGCCGAGAAGCGATGAACTCTTTATAATAAATCTGGTGTCCGCCGAGCACTGTGAGCTTTTGTGCTCTCGAAGTTAGCACCCATATCCAGGACGTTTGACGCGTGGCCTCTCCCCTCACTCACACCCAAGTACCAGACTGCAGACCAACTGTGTTAAGCTGAACATTTCAAATACTCTGAAGCTAATCTGCTGAGATCCTCAGTTAAATGCCTCCCCTTCCCCTATTCAGTGCTTATGTTCATCTCTGTGTGTGGGGGGTGTGTGTGTTACTAGTGATTGAACCCAGGACCTCCACACTGAACTATACCCCTAGCTCTGTTCTAATTTTTTTTTTAACTTTTAAAATTTTGGGATAGAGTTTTGCTAAATCATTAAATTGTCCAGGCTGGGCTTAAACTTGGGATACTCCTGCCTCAGCTTTCCAGAGTAAGCCACCATTTGCATTTCTATCTCATCAGAAGCAGGTCCGATAGGATTAGCCAGTTCCAGGCCTCTTCCATGATTTTCTTCTAACCTTATGCCAGGGCGTTCCCCGGCACCCAGGAGGATGGATGCTCACACATCTGAGTCTGTATCACCAGCACCCACAAGCCCAGAGCCTCAGGCCCCATCCAGCCTGACACTGTCCTCCCAGGGTGTCCCAGGCACCCCACTTGCCAGGGACGGTGTCTGCCAAGCCCCTCTTATAGCAACATGTCCACCCCTTAAGCTTAAATAAGCAAACATTTGATTTGTATGAATATTTGCTCAGTTTTCAAATATTTCTAGATTTTTTGGGGGTTGTTTCTTTTTGATCTGGTGATGAGGTCTAGCTGTGTTGCTCAGGATGGCCTTGAATTCCTGGGCTCAAGCAATCCTCCTGCCTTAGCCTCCTGATTTTAGCTGGGACTCCAGGTGCATGGTACCATAAGGCCCAGCTTTCTAGAAATGTTTATAAGATATCTGAGGGTTTTTTTGGAAATGATCGCACCTCAGAAATTCATTATGCGTCCTGATTCACCAGGATCTCAGAGGGCCCAGTGTGGCCCACCCTCCAAAACGGGTAGCAACAGCCCTGGGGGCCAGCAGGGGCCAGCCACGGCCACCAGGTGAGCCCTGGAGCCACAAGCAGGCTTGGGGAAAATTTAATTGGTTGGTGTGTAGTTTTACAAGTTGACATTAAGGAGACAATTTCATAAAGCATTACAGACCCCAAATAGGGCATTTATTCTAATAGTGAGTTTATAGTTTTCCTAGAGAACCTCACTAAGGCTGCTGTCTTACAGAGAGGACAACTCGAATAAAGAAACAGATCTTTTCCACATATTGGATTAGGGGCAGATGCGGCTGAGGGCAAGTGACTCAGCCGGGGCACAGGCAAGGATGTGAAAAGATGGATGTGCCCTGGCCCTGCTCACTTACAGTGTGAGCCACTTGTTATTATTTATTTGTTCTTTCTGAGCCCTGAAGAAGCCCCCATTAGCTGGGCATGGTGGTACACACCTGTAATCCCAGCCCTCTGGGAGGCTGAGGCAGGAGGGCTGTAAATTCAGACCCAGTCTGGGCAACTTAGATACTTAGCAAGATCCTGTCTCAGAATAAAAAGATGAAATAAAGGGCTGGGGATGTCGCTCAGTGTGAAGGCTCTGGGTTTTATCCCCAGTATGGCAAGCAATCAATCAATAAAAAGAGAAAAAAAAAAAAAAAAGCTCTTTTTTTGTGGCCTGCAGGGAAATGTGTTCTTTTCTGGCTTTTCCAGGTGTGGTTCCGAAGAGGCGTCAACTCACACAATCCCTGCGGCACCAGCTGGATCGAGATGGTTGGGGAGATGACGATGGTGAACGTGGGGCTCAACGACCAGGTGGGTGTGTGATCCCAGGGCTCCTACTGCGGTGTGTGCACTCGGCAGCCGCTGTCCGTGCCCAGAGGCAGCCAGCAGGCTGCTCCCCCAGGATCCGCAGTGTCCGACCGTCCCTGGGTGCTTCCGGAAGGGTACTTACTCAGAGTAGTGAGCACAAATCTGCTGGGGGTGGGGACCGTATCTGCAGACTGGAAGGTGTCCAGAGACGTGCGAAGTGTGATCGAAAAGTACTGTATATGGCTGGGTGTGGCGGCACATGCCTGTAATCCCAGCACTCAGGAGGCTGAGGCAGCAGGATCACTGTGAGTTTGAAGCCAGCCTGGGCTACATAATGAGACCCTGTTGAGCAAAAAAAAAAAAATACCATGTATATTTAAATTTTAAAATTTTTTACAGTAAAAGACACATTACCATTAAGCCTCTCAGAATACTCCCCTCCCCCACTTAGAACACCCTTAGCCTATTGTCCTTGCTGCTTTCTGAAAGAGCTCTGCAAGTCCTCTGGGAGTGTCTTTAACTGCACTGTTCTGGCTGCCTGAATGTCCTGAACTGAGTCAAAATGTTTCCCTTTCATGGTCATTTTGACTGAGAGGAAGAGACAGAAATTGCACAATGCCAGATCTGATGAATAGGGTGGATGAGGACTCACTGTCGTGTTTTTATGAGTTGCCTTTCCATTGGATGGCACCCAGCAGCAGCGTTCATCGTATTTTTTATTGCATCTTATAATGACATTAAAGAGGACTTCCAGAACTGCTTCAGAAAGTGACAAAAAATGACAGGATAAGTGTGTTCCAAGTGAGGGGAAGTACCTTGAGGGGGATTAATGACACTGTGTTTTTTCTGTAACAATTTTTCTTTTTTAAAAAAATAAACATTCACCATATTTTTGATCAGCCCTTGCACTTGGAGTGTTCACCAAGTGAGGGGTGGAGTTGGTCTCCTGACTCTGTGGATGCCACTTCTCCTAAGCATCACCTCTACAGTTTGACAACGTGGCCTCCTTCCTGTAGATATTGAGGTTTGGGTACTGTTCAGACCCAAAGGGTGCAGCCCCTTGCTGTGATGGTGACACCCCGGTGCTCTGTGCCTGGAGCATAGATGTTCCTTTGGGGAGCAGCTTACCACTAGAAGCCACAGGGAAGACAGGGACACAGGTGGACCTTGCATCCCAGCACCCACTTTGGCCTCTGCACCTTGCTCTGAGTCTGCCTGATATCAGGGCCCAGGCCTGGGTCCCTGGTTCTGAGCCGCTGACCTCAGCCCCAGCGCACACACACCCCCGCTGCGTGGCATGGCGGGGGGGGGCTCCTCCTGGGTTTGCAACTGTTCTCCAGCCTTGCTGGCCGCCTGCTCTCCCCTTGCACCGCCAGTAAGACTCAGGAGCCCCAGGTCTGCACCACCATCCCTGAGCAGCACCTCTCTCCGTCCCAGGTCTGGGGCATCAGCTCTGAGGAGCGAGCTGTGTACTTCCGGCAGGGTGTGACCCCCAGCGAGCTGAGTGGAAAAACGTGGAAGGCCATCGTCGCAGGCCGAGAGAGCGACCGGTCGCACTCTGGCAGCTCCTCGAGCCTCCTCAGGTGACCCAGGGGCACTGGGGCACAGACTAGTTTTGGGGTGGGACAGGCTGTCCGTGGCCTCCACAGGGTGCCAGCACAGGGTGTCAGTCCCCAAGCCCCCGAGAGTCCCCAGTGCTGCAGTGGGGCCTTTGGGGCAGCCAGGGGACCGAACTAGGTGTCCTCAGACACTGGGCCGCCGCAGCAGCGCACTAGAGGGCAGGACGGAACTGGGACCGGAGCCGGGTCCGGCCCGCTGGCTCTGAGGGCTCAGGCTCTGGGCTGGAAAGGCCGTCTCTGAGCGGCAGATGCGAAATCCCTGTACAAGGCACTAGGGGACCCGGACAGAGGCTCCCTCCTGTCTGGTCACAGGCTGGCTGTTCCCTGTGCGCTGGAGGGACTCGGGCTAGACAGATCTCCAGATGCTGCCTGAGCCTCTGGTGGGGTTTCGGGTTTCTCGTGAGGTCCCTGGTGATGTGGCTGCTGCTGCAATTCTGAGGACCGTACTTCGGGGTCCTTGGGTCCAAGAATATGGGGAAGCCCCGGCTCTGCCCCAGCCATAAGACCACCGGAAGATGACCAACCCTTCAAGCTGGGGACACTTACTGCTACCATGGGAGTGCCCACAGCTGTGAGCCCTGACCAGGAGTGTCCCCTATGTCTTGGGCCTCCCCAGTCCCTGGTCCTCCCCCACCTTGCGCCTTCAAAGCTTGGCTGGCATCCCTACCCGAGGTTAGGTCTCCTTCCCTGGTGGTGGTCACATTGGGATCAGCTGATAGGCTGCAAAAAACACTGATGCTATGTCTTCTTGTCCTTGGATTTGGTAGTGGTTTCTCAGCTATGACAGTCAAGGCACTGTCACTTTCAGTACAGTATTAAATTATATGCCATAGTCAACACTTTAGTATAAGATACTTTTCATGTTAGATGATTGTGCCCAACTGTGATCTGATGTAAGTGCTCTGAGCACATTTAAGGTAGGTTAGGTAGAACTGGAATGTCCAGTAGGTAAGGTATATTAAATACTGTGTGTGTGTGTGTGTGTGTGTAGGGATTGAACTCAGGGCTTCTACACTGAACTGCATCCTTAGTCTTTTTTTAAATTTTGAGACAGGGTCTTGCTAAATTGCTAAATTGTCCGGGCTAGGTTCAACTTTGCAATCAGAGTGATGGGATTACAGACATGCGCCACTATGCCTGGCTTATAAATGTATTTTCAATTTATAATGGGTTAATCAGACCACAGTCCAATTGTAAGTCAAGGAACGTCTGCACAGGTAATTGAACCTCATCAAAATTAAATATTTAGGGGCCAGGTATAGTAATGCGTGCCTATGATCCCAGCTACTCAGGAGGCTACGGCTGGAGGAGGACAGGCTGGGCAGTTTAGCAAGACCCTATCTCAAAATAAGAATAAATAAATAAAAAGGACTGGTGTTGGAGCTCAGCGCTGCAAAAAATACAAAAAACTTCAGTGAATCAAAGGACACCCCCAAGAGAATAAAGAGATAACTCACCCAACAGAGAAAATATTTGCAAATCACAAGATAAGAGCCTCACATCTGAAATATATTTAAAAACGTCTTTCAACTCAACTCACCCTTTAGAAAGGGTGGATTGGGGGTGCAGCTCAGTGGTAGCACTTGAATAGATATTTTTCTAAAGATACACAAAAAAACCACAAGCACACGTAAAGATGTTCAGCATCATTAGTCATTTGGGAAATGCAAATTGAAACCTCAGCAAGAGACTGTGTCGTACCTACCAGAAGGGCTGTAACTCAGAAGACAGAAGTGCGAGTGAGGGTTTGCAGAAATGAGAACCCTCACGTTGCTGGTGAGAATGTAAGGTGGGGCAGCCATTGGAGAAAACAATTTAATGGTTCATAAAATTTTGGTCAAGGAAAGGAATATGATGTAGATGAACCTTAAGAAAATTATGCTAGCCGGGCATGGTGGCACACGCCTGTAATCCCAGCACTTGGGAGGCTGAGGCAGGAGGATTGTTGCAAGTTCAAGGCCAGCCTGGGCTACAAAGCGAGCTCAAGGCAGCCCGAACTGCATAGCAAGACCCTGTCTCAAAAAGACCAAAAAAAGAAAGAAAAGAAAATTATGCTAAATCACTCATGGTATCACTTGCCTGTTCTCCCAGAACTTCAGAGGCTGAGGCAGGAGGATCACAAGTCTAAGGCCAGCCTGGGCTATGTAGCAAGACCCTACCTCAAACAAAACAAAATAGGGGATGGGTAAAAAAAACAAACAAAAAAACCAGAAAAAAAACTACTACGCTAAGTGAAAGTAGCTAGAAGGAAGGCTACACATCGATTCCATGATTACACTTAAATGTCTGGAATAGGCAAACCCATAGTGACAGAAAGTAAACTGGTGTTTTGTAGAGAGGCTGGGGGTGAGGAAGAGGAGGATGGGGGCGACGGCTCGGTGGGTACCAGTGGTCCATTTGGTGATGAAAATTCGGTGGCAGTAGACGGTGGTGATGGTTGCACAACTCCGTCAGTGTACGACAGCCCCTGAAGGATATGCTTTAAAATGGTTTATATGGTCACCTTCATGTCCTGTGTATTTTGTCACAGTGAGGAATTCCAGATCAGACCTGGGCATGGTGGCACACGCCTGTAAGCACTCTTGGAGCCTGAGGCAGAAGGATCAAAAATTTGAACCCAGTCTGAGGAACTAAGTGACTGAGGAAGACTCTTGTCTCAAAAAAATAAATAAATAAATAAAATTGCTGGGGATGTGGCTCAGTGCAGGGGCCCTGGGTTCAGTCCCCAGCACGACAAATCCAAAAATCAGTTCCAGGTCAGCGTAGCCAGGCGCAGTGCTATGGTGGTCTGGGGTGTGGCCCAAGTGTTCCGGCCCCTAGGAAGCACACGTGCAGCTGTGCAGAGGAGACAGGAGCTCAGAGAGCTTGTGATGAACGCCAAGTCGCATGGATGGTCCCAGTAGCCACGCACATCCCCTAGGAAGGAGTGACGGTCTACCCTGTTCTGTCCCCAGCGCTGGCTGCTTCTTTGGCGACGAGGTGAAGGGCGGCAGCGAGTCTGCGCCCAGTGACACTGACGCCGCCTCCGAATCGGAGAGACCCGGGCCTGAGCGGTCTGCCCCTGAAGAGCCTTTGGACAATTCCAGGGACCCCAAGGGCAGCTCAGCTGTAGGCCCGGAGACTGGAGGGACTGCAGAGTGTGCCTCCGAGACCTTCTGTCCGGATGCGGGAGGAAGGGAGGCCGCTCAGGCCTCTGTGGGCAGCGAGCGCCCCCTCCCGGCCTCCACCGCAGCTGAGCTGCCCTGGACCAACATTGACCTGAAGGAGCCCAGGAAGGCGCCCAGCCACTCTGCTACAGGCTTTGCCGAGACCATGGGCCTCTCCTCCCTAGGGCTCTTCCCCCTGGGCCTGGACGAGCCCTACGCGGCCGACGACCACCCGCTGTGGGCCTGGGTGTCTGGGGGCGGCTGCGCAGTGGAGGCCGGCTCTGTGCTCAAGTGGTTCTCTGTCCAGTCGGGTAAGGGGCCCTGTGGGGCCAGGTGTCCCCAGGGGTGCTGCTGCGGGGTGCGGGGCCCGGGCCATGGTCTGAGGCCCGGAGTATGGGGGCTGGCGCCAACCCACTGACCAAGACCTTGGGCCAGTGTGCGGCTCCTGGTCACAACCCTCTTCCTGTCCTGGCACTGGTGGTAGTTTTCTAGGCTGAATTGTTAGGCTGGCAACTTACACATCAGGGTGACCCTGAGAGGAGAGTGCATAGGGCAGTCTGCAGAGGTTGGGGCTATCCAGCAAGCAGGCCTCACACTGAGCTGAGTGGCCCAGGCCTGTAATCCCAGCATTTGGGAGGCTGAGGCAGGAGGATCGCAAGTTCAACTTAGCAAGACCCTTTCTCAAAATAAAAAAACAGTAAGGGCTGGGAAAGCTCAGTGGGAAGGCCCGGGTTCATCCTCCGGTAGTGCAAAAAAAAAAGGGGGTAGGGTGGGGAGAGCAACCCTGGCCTCCACCCAGCCACAGGCGGGCCAACACCTTGGCCCTGAGGCTCTGGCCTCCTGCAGGCCTGTCTCCCTCAGTGCAGACCCTGTCCCTGTCCATCTCGCCGGCCCAGACTGCCGCCTGGAGGAAGCAGATCTTCCAGCAGCTCACAGAGAGGACCAAGCGGGAGCTGGAGAACTTCAGGCACTACGAGCAGGCCGTGGAGCAGGTGGGTGCCCACCTGGCCCATGCACTCATCAGCAGGCATTTACTGAGTGCCTGCCGTGCACCAGCTGTGAGCTGAGGAGGAGCAGACAGCAGCACCCCTGCCTCTGGCCACCCATGTCACATGCGCAGTGTGGCTTAAGGATAAGGAGATGGGCTCATTCATTCGTGCATCCGTCCTGAAGGACAGTCGAGGCCCTGCTGCCTTCCAGGGACTGTGTGGGGCCTGGAGACCCGGAGAGGGCAGCGGTCTCAGAGGAGGCGGGCAGAGAGGGCATCGGCAAAGCACCTTGACCTGTCTCTGCCTGAGGTCACCTCATCCTGACCCTGCAGAGAACCCAGCACACACACCGCCCTGTGATTTGTTGAAATGAGTCAGGATGGAGTGGCCAGTGGCCCTCCCCGAGGTGCAGCTTGTACCTCCCCTAAGGCAGAGCCCCAGCCTTGGAAGCCACCATCAGCCTGGGGAGCTGGATCGCAGGGCAGATGCCTGGCTTCCTTCCAGAGTCCTGGCCCAGGCTGGGCTGGGGCAGACAGGCTGGAGTTGGGGTCCCTCTGTGATACTCAGGCAGTTTTGGCTCCTTCCTGGGGCTCTGTTGCCCCATCCGGAACATGGGCTAATAGTACCAGTCCTGCCGGCTGCCTGACGAAGAGGAAGTGATGTAGGGACAGCTGTGGCTTAGTCCTGTGCCTGATAATGACACCTGTCATGCACTGGGGGTGGGGGTGTATTGGACGGGGCGGCTCGGGGGTGTGGGAATGGGGCTGCGCACACAGGCCCAGGGGCCAGCAGTGACGGTGTCCCATGGCCTTGGCCCTGGCTGCAGTCTGTGTGGGTGAAGACAGGAAGCCTGCAGTGGTGGTGCGACTGGAAGCCCCACAAGTGGGTGGACGTCCGCGTAGCCCTGGAGCAGTTCACAGGCCACGACGGGGCCAGAGACAGCATCCTGTTCATCTACTACGTAGTTCATGAGGAGAAGAAGGTACGGAAGAGGGCGGGGAGCAGCGTCAGCAGGGTGGGGTTTACTGGAGGCGGGATGCAGGCAGGGCCTGGAGGGCCCCGCTCCAGAGTCTGCGTGTAATTTACAAAGCACTCTCGTCTGCCATGGTCACCCAGAGCCACCTGCCCTCTCACTGCTGCCTGCAGGCCCTAGTTTAGTTTGGGTTTAGGTTTTTCGGTTTTTCTGAGACAGAGTCTTGCTATATAGTTCATACTGGCCTTGCAATCATGGCGATCCTTCTGCCTCAGCCTCAGCCTCCTGAGTACTGGGATTACAGGTATGCACCACCATGCCTGATCACGCCCTTGTTTTTGAGATGAGACATCAGGCTTGGGAAGATGGAGTTGTCACCTCCCAGCAGCTGGCATGTCACAGGCATTTCATGTCAAAAACATTTCTTTAAAATGTCACGAAGAAGCTGAACATAGTAGCACATAACTATAATTTAGGTAACACATACCTATAATTTAGGTAGCACATACCTATAATTTCAGCACTCTGGAGGATAAAGGGTTCAAGCCCAGCCTACACAATGGAGCAACTGAGGGAGATCCTGTCTCAAAAATTTAAAAAGGGTTGGGGATGTACCTTGGTGCAAAGGTCCTGGGTTCAGTCCCAGTACTGCCCAGAAAAAAAAAAAGGAAGACATTTGTTCACCAAGTGCAGCCTCGGTATTGGCTCTTGCTCTGCCCCATGGCCCCCAGGGATACCGGCAGGCCATGGGGACCCCTGCCTGAGTGACAGCACTGCCACACGCCCCTTTTCAAACAGTACTTCCACGTCTTCCTCAACGAGGTGACAGCGCTGGTCCCAGTGCTTAATGAGGCCAAGCACTCCTTTGCCCTGTACACCCCAGAGAGGACTCGGCAGAGGTGGCCTGTGCGCCTGGCTGCTACCACTGAGCAGGACATGAACGACTGGGTGAGTGAGTGGCAGCCCCAAGGGCTCGGGGACAAAGAGCAGCCAACCGAGGCCTGCCCAGCAGTGACCGGCCACGTACCCACACCAGCTCGCCCTGCTCAGCCTGAGCTGCTGTGAGAGCCGGAAGATCCGTGGCCGCCCATCCCCGCAGTCCATCTGGTCTGTCACCTGCAAGGGGGACATCTTCGTGAGTGAGCCCAGCCCGGACCTGGAGGCCCAGGACCACCTGCTGCCCTGTGACCAGATGTGAGTGGACCGTGGCCTCTCCCACATCGCGCAAGTGCCAGGGACTGGGCTGCAAAGCAGCCCCACCCCCTCTCCACCCCCACAGGAGCGGCGCATACATAGGGTCGGCTCCCCAGCCCCCCAGCCTTCCCCATTCCCGCTCAAGCTGAGCTCTGAGCAGGATGTTGGGGCACACGGAGTGCTGTGAGAAGGCTCTATCCCCCCGCCCCCGGGGCTCCTGGCCCAGTCCCAGAAGCCACGTCCTTTCCCCATCCCAGAACTCAGAGCCAGGAGCTCAGGTGCGCAGCTCCTGCTGAGAGGAGCGGGAACGCAGGCATGTTTCCTGGGGCAGCAAAGCAGCATGGGCGGGCAGATGTGGACTTGGTGGCTGCAAGGGCTGGGGCTGCTTTAGACATAGTGGAGGCCAGACCTGGAGCTCACATTGCCCAGTTGGGGCATTTAAAGCTCCGAGGGGAACCAGGCATGGTCATGTACACTTGTAACCCCAGCGTTCTGATAGGCAGAGGCAGGAGGATGGCAAGTTGTGTCCAGCCCGGGAAACTTAGAGATACCCTGTCTCAGGATAGGAAAGGATGGGATAGAATAAGGTTTGGAATGTAGCTCAGTGCAAAGTACTATAGTCTCCACTACCGCAAAAAAGTAAAGAAATAAAGGTTTTAGAGGGACTGAGGTAGCCTGGGGGGACCGGTGTTAGCAGAGCCCTGAGGAGGAGGACAGGCAAGGGGCACAGCCTGGTGAGGCTGGGGGTTCATTTAGCAGTGGTTGAAATCAAGCCCAGGAGCCCCATGACCCCTTAGGCCTCAGTGGAGGAAGGGATCACAATATTCACTGAGCCGTGTGTGCCTGGCGCCCTCTGGTGACAGGGACACGGCCTCAGCCTGCAGGACGCTGACCCAGCCCTGTACTTGGCAGGCCGCAGTGTCACACCCTGTCGCTCTTTTGCTCATGTGAAGGATTAGGCAGCATGTCCCTGCCCTGCCACCACATTGTTTTTTTCTGGTACTGGGACTAAATACAGAGCCTTCTCCCTCCGCTACATCCCCAGTTCTTTTAGAAATGTTTTGGACAGTGTCTTGCTGAGTGAATAAATTGCCCAGGCTGGGCTTGAACTTGCTCCTCCTCATGCCTTGGCCTCCCAGAGTGCTGGGATTATAGGTGAGCGCCACCGTGCTTGGTTCTGCCACCACATTCAGGCTGCCTGTATCTGTCACTATGTGGACGGCCCAGCCGCATGTCGAGGCCCCCAGGGGGCAACTTGAGCCGCTGCTGACCTCTGTCCCTGGTCAGTGTAGCTCAGGGATGTGGGGCAGGCTCCTGAGGGCTTCCTGCCTGGTACTGAGACCCTGCCTGCCACACGCTGCTTCCTGGCCCTCGGCAGCATTGGCTAACGCACAAGGGAGGCCCAAGAGATCACGGGTGTACCCGGTCTGGAGCCCTGGGGTGGTAGAATACTCGTCTGTGGAAGCTGCAGACAGGGGCTCCAGGCGGGCGGCAGGTTGGAGGCCAGGCTGAGGTGTCTGTCTGGCTTCTGGCCCCCCCAGGTTCTGGCGGCAAATGGGAGGTCACCTGCGGGTGGTGGAGGCCAACAGCCGCGGTGTAGTGTGGGGCATCGGCTACGACCACACGGCCTGGGTGTACACGGGCGGCTACGGTGGAGGCTGCGTCCAAGGTGAGCCTGGCCACCCCTGCCCGGCACCGAGGCCCCAGCCCAGCACTGACACTTGGCTAGCAGCTGGCTGACAGGTGACCTTTACCACTGCCAGCCTGCACAGGAGGACAATTGCTGGCCAACACTTGAGGCCGAGGAGCCCAGAGACCAGGCCTTACCTCTAGGACTCCCTCTGGGAACTCAGCAGCTGGGCTGTGACTATTCTAGAAGGCAGCTTCTGGGGCCCTACAGTGCAGTCAGCCCCATTTCACAGACAAGGGCTTGGGGTGGAGTTGGATGGATCCACGACCCAGCTCCTGATTCCATGGCCCAAACTCTGACTCCCATATAGTGTACTGCACCTTGGGAATGGGGTATTGCTGAGCTCCCCAGAGACTCCCCAAGGTTTGGGAGGCAGAGTAGAAAGTGGAGGCAGAAGCAGTGCTGAAAAGGGCATTCCATGCCCGGGACCCTGGGCCCCGTGGTGGGAGGCAGCTGATACTAGCAGCGTGGTCCACGGAGACCACAGGAACTCGCATCTGCATGGGCTCGATGGCTGCCCGTCTCTGTTCACCATGGAGGAAACGGGCCCACACAGGCTGTGCACATGCACTGAGGCATCTTTGCAAATAAGGGGTGAGCTGGGGCACGTCACACCTGCCTGCTTCCAGGTGGGGAGGATGCACGAGATGGGGTGTGCAGGTGGTGGCAGGGGAGATTTGGTAGCAGCAGATTTTTCTCATCGAGGCCCAGAGTAATCCTGGCCATGACGGGGCGGGGGCAGGATGACCCCAACCAGGCCGGGCCCTGCAAGATGAGCTTCACACGCCTGCTTCCTGCCTCAGTGGGCTCCAGCCACCCTTCTACCTGTTCTCTACAGGTTTTGGGGCTCCAAAGGCCAAGCCAGAGTCCCAGGCTGCCTGTGGGGCCCCAGGGCGGGCGTGGGTTCCATCTCAGCAGCTTTTTCTCTTTCCAGGCCTTGCCAGCAGTACCAGCAACATCTACACACAGTCAGACGTGAAGAGCATCTGCATCTATGAGAACCAGCGCTGGAACCCCGTCACAGGCTACACCAGCAGGTGAGGGGCTCCAGGGCCTGGCCTGGCTGGGGGCCACCTGGCCTAGGCACAGTTCTGTTCTGTTCTTTTCTTTCTTTCCTTTCTCTCTCCCTCCCTCCTCCCCTCCCTTCTCTCTTTCTTTCCTTTATTATACTGGGGATTGAACTCAAGGTCTTCACACTAAGCTGCATCCCTAGCCCTTTTAAAATTTGGAGACGGGGTCTTGCTAAATTGCACTGGCTAGGTTCAAACTTGCAGTCTTCCTGCCTCAGTCTCTCAGTGCTGGGATTACTGGCCTGCAGCACACACATGGTAGTTTCATTTGGGATTTCTAGGGGGAGGGTGGTAGTGGTGAGGCCATGCTTCCTGTTCTGTGATTTATGTTCTCTCTCTTGGTATGACTGTTGATATTTAAATGTATGTAGTCCAGTTGCTCAATCTTTTTTTTTGCTTTCATTTTCATGTGTGTGTATACATGCTGGGGATAGAACTCTAGGTGAGCACTCTACCACTGAACTACACTCCAGCCTTTTTTTTTTTTTTTTT